TGAAGAGAAATACGAGTTCCTTATGTATATATATATATAATTTTTTATATTGAAGTATTTTCCCCCCCCCTCTCTCAGGAAGGAAGGGGGGAAAGTAGGCACTCTGTATATTATTATTGTTTTGAGCCGAACCACTTTGCGCGGTTCATGCTTTTTTGAATACTCCAGAGACGACAGGATTTGGAAACACTGCACTCTCAACACTCTTAGGATACCTTTTCCATTTCCAGAAAGTATCTTTTTTGCTATGTTTATCTGATTTTGTTGCATATAGAACTGTTGCGTAAAAACGTGGAGCAACAATTGTTTTAGTGTTTGTAAACGTGATCTTTCACCATTTTGATGTGCTAACCATAAAATACACAGTTGAGGAAAATTTTAATGTAAGCCATTTTCTTTTATTTATGTGACGTGGCATTTTAAGCAGTATTTTAAGGTTAAGGAAATAGACGTAAGAGTTACTTTTTATGCTTTTGGAGCATAAAAGTTATTCTTAATAAAGGGATTTAAATTTTTGACTATGTCAACCTTCATCTATCAAAAGGTACCTCATGATGGAATCAAGTTAATATGTCTTATATACTAGTGTATTGGTATTTAATATTTATAGTGGTAGTTAAGCCACATTACAGTTGATTTGCTTTAAAATATACTGTTCAAAGGAAAAAAAAATCCGGTGAAGTATATAAAGTCTCACGGTTAATAAACAGTATTGAAGAAGGAGAAAAAAAAACGAAATGAGCGAAATGCTATGAAGAAAAAATATAATGAGCAAACATGATATAAATAAATAAAATAGCATGAACCAACTAGTGGTACCTGTTCATCGAAGTTAACATGTCTTATATACTAGTGATTTGGTATTTAATATTTATAGTGGTAGTTACTCCACATTACTTTGCAAAGAAAATAAAAGACTGTTGTTGACTAACAGATTTCCTCATCTGGTGAAATAGAAGACGTTTTTTTAAAACCATTGATTCTTGAAAAGGTGGTTTTTAACACTTTCTGAAGATCAGTAAAAATTAAACATAATAACTGACATTTTTCGTAATGCAATAAATTGCATCTGTATATTTACATTTTATTTTGTAACAGTTCTTTGCTAGTAACAGACTTTTCACAGAATACTTTAAAACGAAACATATAGTTACTCCAAAATAACCATTCCAAAGAATTATAAAATAAAAGTTATTGCTGAATAACTTTTAACAAGTTATTCTATAACGGATAGAAGGCTTAATTTTATATATAATCATCACGTTCATTACTGATGGAATCAATGTTATTTAGCCGATGTAGATATATTCGGCTACAATTACAGTTAATTTTCTTTCCTGTCCATAAGCAAAAGTGTATTAAAAATGCACTATAGGACATACATAATAATGTTTATTGTCAACACATTTTGTATATTAATAATCATCTACGTATTTATTTAGTTGCCCATTAGTTTTTTTTTGGTTTAGTAAACATTAAATCTTTATAAAGTAGTTTATTTTTTTTTTTTTACTTCAATTCTTTGCAGTCGTGTTTCTGCTTTCTGATCTTCACACGTCGAGTGGTGACCAAATAAGCCAGCCAAGTGTTGAAATATAGTGTTTATTATATTTTCAATGAATTCATAAATAATTTATATAAGTTTTACTTGAGGTTTCAAAATTAATAATTTTCAATTAATTTTAACTTTTCATCTATATTAGTTTTAAAGCTTATAAAAAAAAAAGCCAATCTCGATAAATTTTTGCCTCAATTTAAAATTTGATCAATATACATAGAATGTTAAAATCACTAACATAAACATTTCTAATAACATATAAATGTATATAATTTTGAATACTCCAATTCGGCAGTTGAGTACTGTATTAAAATCGTGTATTAAAATTGAGTACTGGATTAAATCGAAGCTAAAAGTATTGTTTCTTTATTGTAAAGTAACCGCATGGAATTTTCTTATTAAGCAAAATTTTATGATAAAGATTAGAAGTTAGCGTTTTAAAATTAATGTATGGAAACTAAGATTGTTTTTTAATTAGTTTGTATTTACTCTTACAGTAAATTTTATGTAAAACTTTCCTCAGACCACACACGTGATTAAAATATAAATTCGAAAAAACTATTTAAGGTTGTAAAACAATTTTAAAAATTAGTATTTTATATTCATGCTAAGTAATCTATTTGGCGAAAAAATATTTTATGAGTCATCAAAATTAAATTAATGTTTGAAGAAAGTTGCCAGAGCAAAATGATCAAGTTTCAATTTTATCCCAATTTAATCAAAAATCTAACACCAAACATGGTTTAAATAATAAAATTAAATTAATGTTTGAAGAAAGTTGCACTGGTAACAGAGCAAAATGATGAAGTTTCAATTTTGTCCCAATATAATCTGAAATCTAAAACCAAATATGGCTTAAATAATAAAATTAAATTAATGTTGAAGAAAGTTTCCAGAGCAAAATGATTAAGTTTCAATTTTGTCCCAATTTAATCTGAAATCTAACACCAAACATGGTTTAGACAATAAAATTAAATTAATGTTTGAAGAAAGTTGCACTGGTAACAGAGCAAAATGATTAAGTTTCAATTTTGTCCCAATATAATCTGAAATCTAAAACCAAATATGGTTTAAATAATGAAATTAAATTAATGTTTGAAGAAAGTTGCACTGGTAACAGAGCAAAATGATTAAGTTTCAATTTTGTCCCAATATAATTTGAAATCTAAAACCAAACATGGTTTAGACAATAAATCAATTTAGGATCTTTTAATTGAGTATTTTATAATTTAGATGTAACAATCAGTTTATTTCCAAGTGACAAAAAACGTTTGTAGCAATCATAGGGCTTGGTGAGCGGTACGAGTAGAGAGTGGATCCCCTTAACTATCACAAACTGTAAACTTAATAACTGAGTGCATTTTCCAATCCTGCCGCCTCTAGCAACAACATATAATATAAGCAAAACAGCCCATTAAACGTCAGTGTTTCTCTATGTTCTAACAATAACCTCTCTTTGATAATATAGGCAGGATGCTTCTTTGAAGTGAACAGTTCTTCCTGAAGCACTTGATTCTTTATAAATCTTTTCGACGAACCAAAATTTCTGCTTCCAACATAAATACTGTGTCAAAATGTCATGAAACTGGCGAAAGTCATTTTTTTTAAATTTTTATTTTGCACCAGTTGTTGAAGACGAGATGAATGTAAAAATGAATAACTTGCACAAGTTTTCTAATTTCACAAAAAAGGAACACATCACGTGGGAAAAACAACACTCTACGATCAACAGTGGGATGTTTTGAGTTTTATTATTGCACAGCAGTTATGCTTTAAAATCAATAAACTTTTGCAAGATGGCAGCACAGCTGTTTTCCGCTTATTTCTGTTGTTCTTCGTGTAAGTAAGTTTTGTTCTTCTTCTTTTAATTTTAAAGTAGGTTAACACCTACTTTAAAATTAAAATTTGATGGAGGGGTGGATGGAAAATATAAAAATAAATAAACAACTAAATAATAATAAAAAAATATCGAATGTACAATATAGTATCTATTAGATTACATGGATTGAAAATTTGGGATATAACGAGATAAACCCCCCACTCTTTAGAAAGGTGACATTTTTAAACATCAAACTGTTCCTTAGTATTGTTTCCAGATAGACATTTTACGAGTTTTCGAATTTCAGCGAGATAACAACACAATGCATATAAATATATTATTGACAACAAGAAACAGGGAAATCGTGATATTTACCCCCGAAAGCGCTCGCTCATCTGAACAGTTTAAAAACCTGGCTTATCATTATGATACCTGAAGATTTCAAAATATTTATCTTTCTACAGGCAGCTGAATTTTATCCATATCTTGCTTAATTTGTTTTACTTAAAGATAAAAACTGAAATACATTTGGAAGAAGGAGACGTGCTTAAATAATGAAAATAATTGCCATGCTTTCAAAAATCGTACTTTTAAAATTCCTTAGTAGACCGCGCAACTATAAAGCACACTTTTAAAATGATTTTTTTGTTTATTTTTTAAGTTATTTGTTTTTGAAATCGGAGGAAAGATTTAAAATAATTATTTATTTTTTAAAATATTTCAATGAATTATTTTTCATTCTGTAAATTTTTTTTGGTTGAGATAAAAATTATAGCTTTAAAATCCTATCTATCATATCTTTATGAGGAACAAAACCATTATTAATACTTCAATAACAAAATTCTTACTACTTCTTAAACAAAAATTATAACTTCTTTTTAAACAAAAATAATTTCTACTTTTTAAACAAAAATCATTACTAATGCTTCAATAATTTTTCAAAGAATTTTTAAAGTAAGAATTTCAAAATGATAGCAAGGATTTTCTTACTATCTTCAGGACAAATTTCCTGGTAAAAAAACTTTTTAAAAATCAGACCGGATTTTTTTCTCCATTTTTTAATATTTTTCAATTTTTCTTGTTGAATTTTGGGCATTTCAGAACAATTATGAAGTAATAAGTCGTGATTTTGCAATCACTGTGAGATCACAGAGGAATCTCACCAACATATTATGAAAATTATATACATGAAAAAAAATTCGTTTTTAAAGCTGTTTGTTATTTACAAAAAAGCGTAGCCAAATGGGAAAATAACTGATCATTTAACTCATCAAGATTATGAAGTCAAAACTTTATGCAATGTTTCAAATTTATGTTCGTAATTTGTATTTCATAATTTTTTTAAAAAATTAAATTGTTTATTATTGATAACTTAATGATGCTATGATTTTGATGTATTAAACTCACAAAAGCTGAAATAAAATTAACAGCCCCTCGTCCCAAGCAACTTACACTGTATTTTTTCTAACTCGTAATGCATACTTAAATTTTTCTATACTTATAAAACTTATTAGACATAAAGGCATAATTTTCATTTCGGAAAAAAAAATAATATTTCTCCTCCTCCCTTAAAAAAAAAAAAAAAAAAAAAAAAAAAANAACAATCAGTACGATTTATGCTATTACCAATTTTATAAAATGAAATATATGTGCATGCAAATTATATCACATTCATAATTGCAGTAGAATAGCATAAATTTATGTATTTAAAAATATAAAAAAAATCATTAATCAGAAGTCTCTGATAAAACACTGAGTATTTGCAATTATTAACGATAAGTACAACAGTTTCATGAGGTTTTTAGTTAGTTTTGTAGACAGAAATAATGATAAATTATTACAATTTGTGTTTGGTTTTGAATAGAAACCAGCATGTTTGGACATAGGTTGGGACATTAATTCTATGTTTATGTTACGTTTTTCATAATTCGATTATTGATATGTTACCAAATTATATTTTCTTTAATTGTTTCACAGGCAAAATTTATTTTTCATCTTGAAAAATGAGAGGATTTTATAAACAACATAGAATTTATAAGAAGTTCTTAACATTCTCAAAACTTTTAGAATTACATAACAATTTTCATAAAGCATTGTTTTTGCAACATTCAACCAAATTTAAAAATTACATCAAATGACAAGTTTTAAAATACTGTGGTTCATCAAGCGAATCTGCTGCTCTAAAAATTGCACAAATAAAACATTTTTGGTAAATCACATCACAAATAAACTACATTATATTTTCAATAAAACGATTGCTTAGAATACTCATCCCGTAACACTTCAGTACTTTACGATCAACGTAAACTATTCGGAAGTAAATATAGTTTGAGTGATAAAAAAAATTACTAAGATCATTTAGTTTCTTCTCTTCACACCGTGAATATAATTTGTATCCTTTGCTGATGAAAATAATCAAGAGATGTTGAGTGACAAGCTCTTCTAAAAAAATGTGAAAAGTCGTTTGGTACGTCACAGAGTTTTTCACACGAGTGGCAATACCTTGTCGTAGAAACTGGCAGTGAAAGTAGCAGTTAATGTTTCCAAGGATTTATTAGGATGGCTAGATTCCATCTGACATCATAATGGCGTGTCACCTAAATTACATAAATTGTACCTTTCTACATAATGGATAAGTCCACGGTACAGGAAGTCGTATTGCTCCTGTAATAGAACAGTAAAATACCAAATTAAAACAAAATAAGTTTGTTAATATTGGTAGAAATAAGTAAAAAAACTAAGAGGCAATAAAACAGACAAGAATAAATATTGATCAAATTGTGTCACTTTCTTCTTAATTGAGTAGCAGTTACATTCTGAGTTTTTAAAGGTCTTCCAAAAATTAGCAATTTTAAAAATAAATGAAGTGAAAACGGAAAGTTTAAAAATGTACGATTCTTTGCACTTTACGAAAATTTTTATAAAGCTCGTTAATAGATCTATTTACTACTAGAAAACTAAGAAAAATATTTCCTGTTGCAAATCAGACAATTCCAACTGTAATATATTTAAGGGCGTCTGGAAAATTCCTCCCCAGATGGAGCCGCATTATAACTGAAAGGAAAATCGGAACTTATGAAAAAATTGTGTTCTAGTTTTAAATTAAGCAGTGCCATCTATTGACGAACTTTATAGCTACATTTGAAATTTGGAAGGAATAAATTCTCAGGTAAGTGTTCTGCATGGATGGTTGACCGTGTAAAGTGCCCTGGGGCTTAAAATTCGCCGTAAGACTTCCGGGTTACTATTTCCGACTGATTTTTAAGTCACAGCTTGAAAAAACGCGCCTACCAATTTTATTATACTAGTAGTATTTTCAGTCGAAAGAGTTTTTTCCATTTACCTTTCACCGAAACAAATAACAAATACATTCGGAAGACTCCACCAGCTTGCTGTGATGCTACCCCAAAAATAAATAACGATTCTATTTTACACAAATATAGCCAAATAAGGGATAGCACTCAAAACATGGCAAACCTTGCACTTTATTTACGCTTTAATATTAATTTTTTTAGACTTGTTCTTGGCTCGCGACCTGTTAGAATTTATGAATTACAGAAAAGTCTTATGAATGGTAAAATTAAGCGTAAATTTAAACACAAATCAAAATAATAAATTTTCATGGAATATTAAGCCTGTTCACAAATCTTCTCGTAAGCATAACATAAAAGGACGAATACACCGGAAGTTTTCGATTTTTTTTGAGGTTTTAGGAAGTTGTTATTGTGTACATTCAGTCAACTATCCATAGGAAATCATACATATCTATTTTTTTTAAATAGTCTGTCATTTTTGACAGATTGTCTTAAAAATTTCCTGAGTTGTTATTTTATTACCACTTTAGTTATTGCAGGGTAAGAAACTCCAGCAATGAATAAAAGTTTCCATTAGATTGTTCATGGTGCAAGAAATAATCCAACAGAAAACAGCTTAAAATGAATAAAGAACAAAGTATGCTATAAAATAGTTATAAATATTAATCTCGAATGGTAAAATAATGCAATTGAAAAGTAACTGACCAAAGTCTGTAGTAGGCAATGTCGTTGAGCTCTTGCGTACTTTGTTGTTTGAAAAACATCTGCCCTTTCATCACATCGTGCTTGTTCTATTAGGTCGCTGAGGGCCACATAGATGCCGCTCCTATCGCCTCCTCCACTGGAAATGAAACATAAATATATGAGACGATTCGAAAGGTATGGAATTTTCTTCCACAAGTTTTTAGAAAATTCCACCAAAACTAATATGTCTGTTACTTTATCAGATACTAAAAAATTCCATAGATAAAAAGTTTTGGAAAATTTGTTAAGAGTTTCTGGAGTCTGGTGTCATTCTGACGTAATTTATAGCTTAATTTTTAATTACTTCGTCAGAGAATATCAACTGCGGACTTTTAATGAGTATGGCATTCTTTTTAACAAATGTTGTGCATGTTTATTTGGTGATAAGATTGCTTAGAGATACTTTGCGTGTGACACTAAGGATTTGTAAAGGTCTTAAGTAAGTAATTTCAATTCTATGCATTTAATCTCTAAAGAAATTTTATCATCTGGTAAGTTTTGAAGAGAATGACTTGGATCTCATTATATTCTCAGTTTTTAGTGAATTCTACCGGAACTGCAGACCAATCTCAGACCTAACGATAAAAAATGCTTCATTTATAAATTTAATGTGAATGACTTAAATCATAGTGAACAGTGCTCGGTAATTTTATTTCCAACTTGTATTTAACTTCAATATGGTTTCGGTGTTCAAAAGATGTATTTTTCGCCAAATTATGTACAAATATTCAATGGTACTTCCAAATATTAATGCTTTCAAATATTAAAAATTATGAGCACTTTATTACACTAAACAATTCAGAAACTTCTACATAATGAAGCGTGCTTTTTTAATAATGAATGATTTTATTCATTTTTGTTTCAACAAAAGGAGTTAGCAACTAAAAATATATAACGCATGCATAGAGAACTGACATTTATTTAATTATTTTTATATTTCGTAACAACATAATGTTAACGGTAAACATAATGCAATAATAACTATAATGATTTATAAGCTCTATTACAGTAAAAGAAAAATTTGAAAAAACTTTACATATTTATTTTAATCCCATTCTAATGTATCCTAATTTCCAATTTAATAACAGTTGTTTAAAATTCGACTGATAGCGGATTTAATCAAAACGATTTATTTATTTCCATTTAATAAATGTTAAAATGCGAAGCAAAAACCATCAAAAGATTGATAACGTACGTTAAAACTTCGACTGTATTAAAATTGCGTATTCTTTACACAGATGATTATAGTAACCATTTATGGTTCTAATCTTGCAGAAAGTACAATATATATTTTAAGTCATTTTCCATTTAAGTAACGCTAACAACTGAAAAAAAACTAGTTATGCATTAAAAAAAACTATAAGGGGGACCGGAAAGTAATGTCGTTTCGGCACATTAAATATTCGTTAGTCTTAAAAACCAATTCATTTTTTTCCGATCCTATTTGATTCGTTTTCGATCCGGCAGTGAAAGATTGTTGCTAATGAGGGTGATCATTATTGATTAAAAATAAAATCTTGATCACGAATATCAAATGCAAAGAAACGACATTACTTTCCGGTCCACCTAATATAATTTATCTAAAAGTTTAAAAGTAAAATTTGAATGACTTTTTATTCATTGTTAGAGACTAATAGAAACAATAAAATCATGCAAAATTACGAATATTAAAATTTGCACCCCAAAATTATAACTGAACCATTTTGTGAAAGAAAAAAAAATTTTAGTTGCAAAATAATTTCTTTACAGTAATTTATAATTATAATCAGTCTAAATACTTAAATGTGATAATAAGGCATTCAAATTAACTTCACATGTTCCTTCAAATTATCAACCCAAATGGGAATATAATGTGTCGACGAATCTCTCTATGATTAAAATGTCGAGTGCTGTTGAAATCATTTCAAATAAACACGCTATTTAGATTCCTAATTTGATCAAGATAAATATTCGATGATTGTTCTAGTCCATTCCGACAATATCTATATCAATATTTGAGCTGCAGGGCAGTAATTATGAAGCCATTACATTACAGGGATATGAAATTAAATTGAAATGTTCAATTACGTTCCATTCAGTTGAATTGTTTAATATGATCCTTTGCTTAATAATGACAATTCTACGTGTGAGTGCTGTTACGCAGTTTTTAACATTTGAGATGAAAACGTGTACCTGTTAACTGGCAAAATTTAAGTTCAAAATTTATATCCATAATTATATACACACGAAATTTAATAAATTTCTATCAAAATATAAAGTTTGAGACAGTGAATTTAATTAGCGAAGTTATAAATAATGCTTGCATGTGTCTTTCTCATAACTCCAGAACCGTTTGTGCTAGAATTCCAAAATTTGGACAATGGCACTGTGGGCCAGAGAACCATGATCTTTGTCCAAAAGTCAAAAATTAAATTTCAACTAAAATATGTTTAGGCAGTTTCAATATAGCCCAAATTAAGTATTCATAATCATTCCAAACATTATAATTTACTTTTTGGACCGACAAGAGTACAATGTAGTAAAAAATATGTTAAATTTTTTTTAAATGTAATTTTTTAATTCATATTTCAGAAATATATATAAGAATTTCAGCGTTCTGTTACATTTTTATCAGAGTAATTAGTCTGAAATTATAGTACAATTTTTCAATTTGTTGGATGAGTTACAATGACAAATGACATTTTACAATGTTTGAATCACTTTCGAAATTTATCTCCAAAAAGTTCCACGAGGTAATTAACTTAACTTTTTTTTGTTGTCTTCTTTGATGTTTCTTTTTTCGAAAAAACCTGCCCCATTTTGACCACAGCGCAAAGGTGGACTAAATATATCAAAAAACAAAAAATATGTTTTTTTTTCATGTTTTCGCGTTATTTTCTAATTAATTCGCGTTATTTTGTAATATTACTTTGGTAATATAATTTGCTTTTCATTTTTAATGTAAAATTACGAAAAGTATTATATTTTCATTGCTATATTTAATTATTTAAACGTACTATATATTTTGTTTAATTTCTGCTCCCCATATTTCAGCCGCCATTTTGTTTTTCTTGGTATTTTTTGTGTATTTCAAAATTTCAAGTACGAATTCAATTTACCTGCTCATAAAAATCCCCAAATTTTAAAACAAATTTGATCAAAATACTAATTTTGGCCACGAAACCTTGGATGCTGGCCCACTGTGAGTGGATGCAAAGGACAATTTCTGCTCCCGCGCTTAAAAATCTAAAAATCTTTCATAAATTTCTTTCAGTACATTCTGGGGGAAGGGGCGAGTGAAAAACGAATTTTTCTCATCAGTTTATAACATTACAAATTGTTACAAACTAAACGATGTTTTTTCTCCAATTACTTAAAAGATTAAATTGCATTTCTATTTAATCAAAAAAAAAGGAGTTGCACTGGGAAAGTATAACATATTCTTCATTAACTAATTATTCTTTATTCGTCATATTATCCAAAAAAATTTGGAGGGCATGATAGCAACTCTCCGATTTTGAACTTTGAAATCCATCTGAAACCGCGTGTTTGCTTTGTTTAAAGTTGCATTTCTGAAAACTATTTCCATAAACATAGATGATGCAATTAACAGTAATTTTTAGTGAGAAATTTAAAAAATGAACTTAAGAGCAAATTCGCCTTGAAAATTTATTGGTTACGGTTGATTGTGATTATAATGCAATTATTGACATAATTTTCGTGCCGAATGGTACAGGATGTAGTTTAAATTTTATTTTAATGAGAACGTCTAAAAACATGTCTTGCTTAATCTAATAACGCAAAATCCCCAGAAAAAAGCAACAAGCAATAATAAAAAAATAGATCTATTTTAAGTGCTAATTAATACCGATTGATTGATTATTTGCATACTTTATGCTGAAGATGGAACAGGTGCTCAGCTAGTTTCTTATAATTTGTCAACAAAATACTTTTTGAAAATTTTTTGCCGGAGGTATTTTAATATATTTTCTTTGTATTTTATACTATTTGTATTTTATATTATTCATTTTTATATGAGTATCTCTCAGAGTTAAAAAAGTTTTGACACTGTTCTTAGAGTTAAATAGTTTTAGATTTCCTAAATGGGAAGCTATTTTGGAGAAACATAGCATTATGTGAAGTTTAAAAAAAGAAAATTATCAAATACTGTGTAATATTATTCATTTTTATATGAACATTCGAGTTAAAAAGTTCTGACACTGCCGTGCTTAGAGTTAAATAGTTAATCTGAATGGGTAGCCATTTTGGAGAAACATTTCTCCAAAGTTTTCTACAAAGAGTTTGCTTGGATAATTGTAATAAAGTCTACATGTTAAATTGTTCTAATGTCTCTGGAGCTAAGTTTTGAGTTTAGTTTAAAGTCTCGTTGTTGCTGAAAGAAGAGAGACATAAACAATCAACTTCAGAGGAAATAATTATACTTTACATTATCGATCACTTTTTGAGGTGAATATTGATTTATAATATTAACAATACTAACATGACTGAAGAAATTTATTAAAATTCAAACGTCGGACTAATCGATGGATTTATTATATAATTAAATAAAAAAATTTTGCATTAACACTTTTTTCGAATAGATTAAAAAGGAGAAAATAAATTTTCATTTTTGCCTCGTCTTAAACGAAAACCATTATGTATACAGATTTTATAAAACGTGGGGTGTAAAAGAAGTTCATTGAGAAAGCATTCCAGTCCTCTTTGTTTTAGATGCAGCAAAAATTTAAATTTTTAATCCACATTGGAGATTAAGATTTAGATTAAGATTTGATAAAGATTTTTGTACAAAAGTAATTTAGTGGATGTTCCCTCAATTCAGCATTGAAAAATTCTTCGATATGATTATCGCGTTGTTGACTGTAATCGATCATTTCTAAAATCAGATGCTCGAGACAAAATGAATTGAACTGCGAATTAATGAAATTGTTAAAATGAATTACTTTTTCATAAAATGACTGAANCCAATTTCATTCTTAAACGACCTGCACGCAAAGTCGAGCACTTTACGGTAGCACAGTTTAACGAGGACCAATACCTCACACCCTCGGCCCCTACACAGACTGATCCAAGTGGTCACCCACCCGCACACTGACCGCAGCCAGTGATGCTTGATTTCGGTGATCTGCTGGGAGGGAACCGTGTCTTAACGATCAGTCCACTGCGGGACTAGATTAAGAAGGAGAAAATAAATTTACATTTTTGCCTCGTCTTAAACGAAAACCATTAGGTATACAAATTTTATAAAACGTGGGATGTAAAAGAAGTTCATTGTGAAAGCATTCCAGCCCTCCTTGTTTTAGATGAGGCAAAAATTTAAATTTTTAATCCACTCGAAAAACGTGATTTTTAAAACTTTTTTCATGCATTTTCGGCAATTTAGTTTGGCATCGGTTTATTTGAGTCGAAATTTCGATTGACGATAAATTTATTTAGTGATGAATTCTGCTTCGATTGAAACTTGCTCTGGCATTCGGAATGAAGTTCCAGTTGTGATCTGAAAGAAAACCCAGGTAGTACACCAAAATAGTACACTACAAAATAGTACACTACAAAATTTTTTAACGTATCTTAATAACAAAATTGGTGGTAACTAATTCACACCGTAGATAACTGTTGGTTCTTGGTGCTTCATTACACCAGAAGAATGTTCATTTACACCATTTGTTGTTAAGTAGCTGCCACCATACTCAAAAGAGTCAGTAAAGTTATTTTTAAGATACAATATAACGTAATAATAAGTAATTTGGAATACATATGTACAGTGCTCAAAACAAAAAAGAAAAAAAAAAAAGAAAAAGAAAAGAGAAACAACTTGAATACCTTTTGATCTAATGATCGGATCTTCACGTTCGGGGACTCAATCTTAATGCTTGGAGGGGTTTCTTTCTCTGAATAAATGTGCCTTTTTTCGGCGGATTCGGATTTGTGACTCCCAAAATATAGGGGGGGGGGGGTAGCCGCAATGAACCCCATATTTTGGTCAGGACAGCTATTCAAAGTTGGGACGTCATAATGTTGAATTTATTTTTTGTGTATTTTTTCATATCTCGAGAACTTTTTAGCGAATCGATTTTTTCGTAAATACAATTATAAAATTCGTTTATCCAAAGATAATTCCATGAAAAAAATAAATTTTAGTTATTATTTGTTATTTTTTAATTATTTTATTTATTTTTTATTATTTATTGCAAAAAAATTTTCGATAGTAAGATACACAATTTTTTTTACACAATTTTGAAATAAGTAAATTTACGTGGCAAAACGCAAAATTTGAACGAAATTGATTGAATAGTTCCTGAGAAATCCAATTTTGAAAAAATTGCATATTTAAAATTTGATTTCTCAGGAATTATTCAACAAATTTCGGTCAAAATTTGTATTTTCCAAGTAAAATTACCTTAGAATTCAAAATTGTTTCGTTTATTATTAAATAAAATAATAAATATTAACAAAAATTTATCTTTTGCTTGGAATTATCTTTAGATAAACGAATTTTACAATTGTACGCAAAACCTTTTCAAAATTAGCATTAAGGGTTCAAACTTTGGGCCGCTCTCCAGACCTGATTGGGGTTACTCCCTGAATTTTGAGGGTTAGAAATCCGAATCCGCCGAAAAAAAAGTATGTTTATTCAGAGAAAACACGTTTTTGTTTCTGACTTCGTAACTTAAAATCGTAACTCGAATTGTGATCCGAATCGCATAATTTGTATCACTAATCTGAAATCAATGGATTCGAATAGTGATCCGAATCACATGATTTCAATCACTTGATTCAAATAGTGATCCCAAACGCATGATTTGAATCAGTGATCTAAATCACTTGATTCGAATCAATAATCCAAATCGTATGATTCGATTTACTAATCTGAATCACTTGATTCGAATAGGAAACCGAATCGCATGAATTGAATCAATGATTCGAATCACTTCATAGAATCAGTACTCAGAATCTCGTGATTTAAATCACTTGATTCGAATTGTGATCCGAGTCACATAATTAGTATCACTGATCTGAAATCACTTGATTCGAATAGTAATATGAATCACTTCATAAGAATCAGTGTTTTGAATAACATGATTTAAATCAGTGATTTGAATCATTTGATTCGAATAGTGATTCGAATCGTATGATTTGAATCACTGGTCTGAACTTAATTGATTCGAATATTTATCCGAATCACTTTATTCTTAACAATATTCCGAATCATATGATTTGAATAAATTGATTTGAATCATTGATCCAAAATTATTCGATTCACTGATCCGAATCATTTGATTCGTATCACTGATCTGAATCCTTTGATTTGAATCACTAATCAAAATCACATGATTCGAATCAGTGATCTGAGTCACTCGATTCGAATTCGACGGCACTAATTAATTAGAATATATTTGAGGTCACCCCTCTAGAACCATTAAGATTGAGTTCTAGAACATTAAGCTCCAATCATTAGATTAAAAGTTATTCAGGGTGGTTTTTTTGGGGGGGGGCACAGTACCACTAACTCTTAAAATAAAATTAGTTTGTAAATGAAGCATACGTGTACAATAAAATTGAGGAGTAGAAAAATTATACGTTATAAAATCATTTAAAACAGTTCACACAGATTTAAAAATTAGAAAAATATTATCCTCATTACATAACTAAAAACATACATATTTTAACCATGAACTTTTGATTCTATAGATGTGTAGCAGCGTATAAGAAAACATCAAACTCACGCCAACTCGTACTGGATTTTAAACAATTTATTGGAGATTAAGATTTGATAAAGATTTTTGTACAAAAGTAATTTAGTGGATGTTCCCTCAATTCAGCATTGAAAAATTCTTCGATATGATTATTGCGTTGTTGATTGTAATCGATCATTTCTAAAATCAGGTGCTCGAGACAAAATGAATTGAACTGCGAATTAATAAAATTGTTAAAATGAATTACTTTTTAATAAAATGACTGAATTACCAAGAAGTTTGAAGTAGTGAATACGGTGGGTAAGACTGTATGCCTGAACCATGTATATAATTAGTGGACGGTTTGACTTTTAAATTTTGTAATTTTTACAAGCTTTAGTTATTTACATTAAAAAAAGTTTTAGGATGAAATGCGCAAATATTTCGAATCATCATATCAATAATTTATGATCTTTATTTATATTTGTTGATAATGGGAACATACACAAAAATGTCAAATATCAGAACACAGAAATTTAAATATCAGCACAAGTATTTTTTACTTGGGATATCAGTACCGCTTTGTACCCTGCACTCCAACTGAATGGAAATTGATAGCAATTATGTTTGGTGATAAATATTTCTTAGCAATAAATTTTATTTGTATTAAAAATTCTACTTCAACGCTCATATAAATAAACAGTCACGAAAGTGATTTATTAAAACGTGGCAATTCTTAAAAAAATTTGAATATTTTTTTTACCGGAGATAGAACATAGACTAAGATCAAGGCAAAAAATTCTGTACCTGCAATGTACAGTGATGGGCCCAGTTGATATTTGACTGTTATGATGCTGTTGGACATGTTCTATGGCAACAATGAGAGAGGATAAGTTTTCTGGTACTCCAGAACCACAGGACGACCAGTTGATGAGCTGGAACTGACTCATTAAATGCTTCTGCTCGTCCTCTACGTCAGTTACAATGAATTGTCTAAGAATGTAGTGAGATGTTTGGCTTGAGCTTTTCAGTTTCACCCGAACTGTCTCGTAAATCTCTTCGTGGCACTCGTCTGGCCAATACTGCGGACACTTGTTCTGGAAGAAAATAATTGCAATTTTAGTAGCGTATTTCGAAGATCTTTCACTGAGAAAATAAAGAAATCTGTGCATTTTACACTAGAAACAAAGCTTTAATTTTAAATTACACATACCATCTTGCAGTAAAGAATGGAATGAGCAAATAACTTAAGTATTTAAAAAGCTATTAAACTTTTTTTGAAGTTATACTTCTTATGCGACTTCCATCAAGGTTGCATTAAACGTTTAACGCTACATTTTTATTGGCCGGGAAATCACGTGGTGGTATCCAGTTTTCCCTCATTCATTTCCATATTGTTTTGGTTCTCACTAGCATAAAAATAATAAAAGTATTGTTTTTCTATAAATATTTTTTTAGTTTGTTTTGATACACATATAATTTAATAGGGTAGTATTTTTTATTTTCAAATTTAGTGGATAACAATTGTAAAAAATGAGTGAAAACAATCCCACGGACAATTCGACGGATTTAAGGTTATGTCAAGGTACGTTTCTTGTGAATATCAATTGATTGTTTCTCTTCTGAAATTACATTATGACGCATTCACATACATTATTAATACAAATACATTTTCCAGGGCGAGACGATGAGGCAACCACAAGCACTGGTTCAAGAGGTCCACGAGGGAAAAATGCACAATATTACCGTGATTACAGAGCACGGAAGCGAGCGGAGCAGGAGAAAGAGTCGTTGAATAGAACTAGTGATCCTTCTACTACTGCTGATTCTTCTACAATTAACGTCGCAGGTTGCGAAGTTTAACTTCTTCCACGCACTATTTTTTCCCCTCTTTTTTATTTTTAAAATCGCCAATTTGGTGAGATTTTTCCATCCCGATGAAAAACATCAACATCTAAGAGTAATTCTCAATTTTGGCAAAATTTTATGACGCCAGATAATGCAGAGTTGGAGTAGCTTTTTAAATGTAAAAAAAATTAGATAACAAATGCTTTTTAATTTCCATCACATTGAAGTTTTGCGCCATGTTCAGAACTAAAATAAAAGTCGCTGGCTAAAGGTAAGTCAAACTTCTAAAAGTCACGAATAATTGTTGCAAACTCACAACAGTTATAAAAATAGCACATTGTTCGCAAAACAGCGTTATTTCTTGTGACGACAGCGAAAATCGGTTTTAAGCTACGTTCCTGCTGCATAAGTCCGTTAAAAAGGCTTACTCACCAAGTCTGGTCCCACCTCTGAGAGCATGACGAGAGTGGTGATGTGTTGCTCCTTCACCATTCTCCAAAAGTCACAGATGGTCTGCGGCAGAGGATCTTGGGTGATGATGAATGAAAGAGAACGGTAGTAACCCTAAGGAATAAAAAAAAGAAACACTTGGTGATAAGATTATGTTAAAAAAATATCAAATAATGAAATGTTAATAGTGGACGTATTTTGATGACGTAAATCTTCTTCCAGCATATAATGTCACTGTGGGGAGAATATTTTTATTTGTTGCTTGTGTATGAATAAGGTATTTCTTGCAGCAATAGAACGAGGCACTATTTTAATTTAATAATGTTATTTTACTTGCGGTTTTTAAGATAACCCTTTTTTTAAAATTAAAGGTAAAAGCTTTTTACTCGGTTTAAACTTGCTCTATATTCCCTTACCTGATATTTTTTGTAATGTATAAAAACCACAGCCACCGAAAAGATCTTTAAAACTAATAAAAAAACATATCCGAAATAATTGAAAAAAGACTGAATATAATGATAGGGAAAAAAAAATGTGAACATGAAATGACTAACTCGGAGTGGCTAAATGCTTCTAAATGAAAGTTGTTGTTAGAAAATAAATGTTTTTTTTCTTCTATTTCCGAATTTTGAAATTTAAAAAAGCAGGCATGCTTTACTTAACTTTCTCCATGTACAAAAGAAATTCCATGATCCACTCCAATAGAGAGGAATCTTGGAACTGGAGGGCTAATTGAAAAAAAAATATAATATCGTCAGTTCTATATCTTCCTTTTCCTTTACAGATTTCTCTTTTGCTCAGAAAGTTCTTACGTTATGAAATCGTCTTTCCTTTAAGTACTTGAATGAACTTTCAGCTTAACTAGATCAACACTGTCCAACTTCGCACATGCGCAGTTTCGAACAAATTAAACAAAAGAAAAGTAACGTAAAAAATCTCATCAAAAATAATTTTTCTCTCTTATAATTGATGTGTTTACCTATTGAAAATAAAACTTTCTAACAAAAGTCAATTCAGAACAACTTAGGAGACATTGCATTTTTGCAATTAGATTTTTATACAGCAAAAAAATAAATTCTTTGTTTAAACTTAATTTTATACAAAATTATCTTTAGGAAATGTGAATAGATTTTAAATGTGTTGTCAGTTTTAAAAGTTGAATTAAAATATTTTTCTTAATCTTGTTCTTTTTAAATTTTTTTTCTCACAACTGATTCAGAAAGAAATGCTATTCTTTCATAACAACATACATTTTTATGTTATAAATGTGTCCTTTGGAAAACAGTTCTGCACAATTAGAGTTTTTAAGAAAAAATCTATTCGCATTTTCTATCTCAAGCCTCATTAAGCACAATTAAGGAGTGAGGAAAAAATTAAATTGCTAAAGAGAAATAAAATGTGGTAGTCTTTCCATTTGGTTGCACACAAAAGCTAGTTCTGGTTTTGACACTAAAGAGAGCAAACAAATTTAAAGCGAAGCTTTAACCTCAAATAAAAATAAAGAAGCAACGAAGACTTTGTATTCGACAAAAAATATTTATTGTTTGACTTTAAAAACAATCTATTTTCTTTTTTTTTTCTCTAAATTTTCAAGTGACGAGTTTTGAGATTAAAAATAATTTTCACGACATTTATTTCATTTTTAATGAGTGTAATAAAATATTTATAGTCAAGGAGGAAATAATTTTTGGAACTATTTACATATTTGATTATTTTACTAATTAAATTTTTTGTAGTAAAAAATGATAAAAGTTGTTGAGCTGGTTTTAATGTACATACGTTTGCATTTAAGAGTAATATCTAATGAGATTGTTTAAAATAATCTGTTATATCATTATCTTCAAAGAATGAGTTATTCTATAAAATACTCTCAAGTTCGAGAGGAATAAAGAAAGCAACACTCAGTTTTGCGTAAGTTTAAAAACGCATAAAGACATTTAGTAAGGGTAAATATAATATACCGTATATAGAAATTATTATTATTAATATGGTTTTTGGCATCTTTGCAAGTTTCCAGAGGAAACTATAGAGTAAATGTTTTCTTTTCCAGTGTTACGTTCTAAAATACGAATTTTCTCTCGTACTTTGAAGGAAGAAAGACTTATGCAGTCTGCTCCAAATGTGAAGCCCAGTAGGCCTCAGCCGAACATTCCTTGACTGCTTGGGCCTTTCCAAGGAGGACTTATACGTTAGTCCACTTCTTGTCATCGACTTTTTGAGGGTCAACAACCAATTGGATCTTGTCTGTCTTCGTCAGACAATTGGATGATAAGGAACAACAACAACGTTCTAAAATAGCGACAAATTTGCTACAGTTTTAAAATGTAGTTTTTGGTATCCTGACAAATTACTGGAGGAGACAATAGAGGAAATGTAATCTTTTTTATTGTTTGGTCCAGGAATTTGTCATAATCGAGACACTTTTGCTGGAGTATTAAAAATGGTTTTCGGTAATTTACAAAGTTCTGGAGGATATAAGAGAGGGACTGTTTTCTGTTCTATGGTTAGGTTTAAGAACTTGCTATAATCCAGACAACTTTGCTAGGTTTTTAAAAGACGGTTTCAGGCATTCTTACAAGTTTCTGGAGAGTAAATGTTTTATTTTCTATTGTTTTAATCAGAAATTTCTCGTAATGGAGAAAATTTCTATAGAGTTTCAAAGTATAGTTTTTGGCATCCTGCTAAGTTTCTACAGAAAATAATAGAGGAAACGTCTTCTTATTCCGGACGCAGAAAGGGACACAGCTTAAAATGTGAGTCAGTGAAAATGGACACAGCTCGAAATGAACAGTAACGAAAATGGAAACAGCTAAAAATACGCATTAGCGAAAATGGACACAGCTCAAAATGTGTGTTTACGAAAATGGACACGGCTCATAATTGCGTTGTTACGAAATTGGGCACAGATATTTAAGAAAATGGACAACTCCCTTTTTCCATCCTTCTTTTTAATCATTGTTCTATCTTTATATAAATAACTAATGAATATAATGTCATTTCGTAATGTAATTCATTTGCATAAATTACTTTTTACATTTTATGAAATTAGCCTTTTTTAGAAAAGACTTTAAAAGTCAACAGTTTTTATAAGGTTGCTATGCATCTTATAAATTTATAATAGTGATAGTAAATTTACGGTGCTAAAATTCAAATTTTCAAAACGTACTATATCGTTCAGAGAATACGAAGACAATGTCTGAAAAATTACAATTGTATTACCCTTAAAGACAGGGATTTGTCCCGTAATGATTGCATTTAGTTTTTAAATAAGTACTTAAAAGTAAGCACGAAATTCTTTGTTAAGTTGTTAAATTTAGTTTGAACATTGAAAAGGAAAATGTTTTGCTGTTTCCATTTTCTTAAACACGCGTTTAGAACTGTGTTTATTATCCTAATCGCGTATTTCGAGCTCAGTCCATTTTCGTAAACTTGCATTTTGAGCTATGTCTATTTCTAAAAATACGCGTTTTGAGCCGTGTCTATTTTAGTAAACACGCATTTTAAGATGTGTTAATTTCCTTTGGGCTGTGTGTTGAATGTTATCTTTTCTATTGTTTGATTCAGAAACTTGATATAATCTAAATAAGAGTTCTAAAGGACAATTTTTTAGGATGCTTTCAAATTTCTGAAGGAAATAATAGAGCTTTCTATGGCATTGTTTTGGAGTTAGTCAACTTGAATAGGCTTATAAAAAATGATTTTTAGAATACTAATGAATTCATTTATGAAAAAACAGAGAAGATATTGTGCCCTTTATTATTTCGCAGTTGGCGAGTTTTATAAGAGAATAAAATGGTATATTGTAGGCAACGATACTGAAATACAGTTTGTGGGTGCATTTTTTATGTATTTCCATTATATCCTTTATCCTCTTTTTCATGAATAAAAATTTCCTTATTTTGGAATTTTTTTTTCTACTTTTTAAAAATAATTAAAATTATTTAGCTACAATTAAAAAAAAAACTTTTCCTTTGTTTATCTCTTTGACTAATTTTTGAGAGACAAACCCTCTTTTATTTCTTTTCTATTTATTTCTTTTTGTGCAAATTCTTTTCTTAGGTTTATTTCTTTTTGTGCAAAATAGCCCGATGAAATTACTCCCTCCCAGTAATAAAAAATAGTTTTTGAATTTTTATTGAGAACAAACAGTTTTATGTGTATGCTATTATCCCGTGAAGAATTAAGCAAGAAAGCCTACACTCATAAAAGTTGAATTAAGTTAAAAATTACACTATATACATTTTCTCCTCATTGATTACACTCAAATCTCCAACAAATCTCTTTAATCTAAATAATAAAAAGTTAAAGAGAAATTAACCCTGACCTTCATAGGTTTTATGTATTTTTGTAAATGAAAAGTTAAGGAACGATTATCGAAAAAACAATTGAGCAGAAGGGTTTTGTGCTTTTGTCAGAAATGGCATGCGCAATGCAGTGTAAAAATGCGAAATTTTGTAAGTAACACGGAGAAAAAAAAATTCCGACAAAATTACCGTACTGTATAGTAATGACATTTCAGGTAGAAAAAAAAACAAACAAAATTTTGATAAATAAAACCAAAATATACCGTATTTAAAGTATTTATTTGGTACTTTTTCCGTTCATATGGTAATGGTTTACTGGAAATTCTGGTTTTAAAAATTATTACCTTACAGTTTCTTATTACCATACTATTTTCGCATTACCATACATTTAGCAAAATTTACAAAATTGAAAAGTAAATTCAACCTAATAAATGGTTTTTATGCCATAAAATTACAAGGTTTTGCCATATTTCTCAAATTTTATCACATTCTCTAACACTATGTTAATTTTTTAAAAATCATTACCAAAGCACTTCGATAAAAATTACCGAGCTTTTTGGTGTTTCCATAGAGCCTGAAATACGGTGAATTTAATCATATTCTAGTAGTTGTGACTATACTTTTTTTTTTCTCACGGTATAAATTTTTATAAAGACTACGTCGTGAAATAATAAAATTTACGTAAATTTTGTATAAAATCTGTCGTATTAAAATTACTTCAATAAACATGAATTTAACTTTATGGGATATCTAACATATACATTGACTTACCTGAATATGAGAAGCATTGATATAGGACGACTGATCAGCAATGGAAGGCAATAAAATTACTCGATTCATATCATCTGAAATCATAAGATGTGTGAAAATATATTATAACACGAAAAGAAACTATCAAAATAGTAAGGATAGAGTAAAGATTTTTGAATATGATAATTGGCATATAAAACTTTATCTTTTAAGAAGACACCATACGACGGGAGAAACTTTTAGTGGCAAATTCTCCTTCACCTCCTTAACTAATTTTAAATGTGAAGTATGGAAAATGTGAGTTCAGACAAACCTAGGCCATGAAGTTACAAAGGCTGAGAAGGAATTTTTTTAAAAATTCAAATCAAAATATAATACCGTGGCTGGGTGGCGCAGTTGGTTTGTCGTCGGCCATCTGAGCCCAAGTCTGCGGGTTCGATCCCCGGACCAGACACCGGATTTTCGGTATGTAGAAAGTCCTCATCGGCCATGTCGTATGATTATGCGGCATGTAAAAGATCCCTGGAGTGCCTTATTGGCTCTTGGCATTTCCAGAAAAATTAAATTCCTAGTGCACTTTAGCATCCAAATAGAGTCTCGGTGCTGCCATCTAGTGTGGCAGAAACTAGACGTCCAAATTAACATGACCAACGGTATCTCACCCATTGTGGTGGTCCTGAAAGAGTGGATACCGCCTCTGGAGAACGCACTAGGTCTGCTCATCGGCAAGACCGATTGTGCAGCTCATTGGAAATAAAAAAAAGAAGAAATGATCTGAGAATTTTCTGAGATTAAAACTTTATGGCTTACTCTAGGTTTGTCTAAGCGCACTTTTAATTTCTTTTAAATTTTAAACTAGTAATGAGGGGAAAGAGAATTTGAGACAAAAAGTTTCTCCCGTGGTATGGTGTCCTTTTCAGAACATGAAAGTGAAAGTAACTTAACTTAAAATAATTGAAATTATGAAATGATTTTTCAACTGATTTATTCAAATAAAAGTAATATACGCCAGCGGTTTGCAAAAAGTCTTTAGCAGAACCCTAGGGTTTCTTAGAAGGGTTACAAGTTTAAACTTTATATAACCAATTATGATTTCTGAAGCCTGTAATAATCATTAATAATTCAGTAGTTATTTAATTATTTGGCTAATTCGATGAAATGATTTACGCAAAATGCTGGTGAAATAAATAATAAAAGTATTGAATTAATAATGAAAAGGAAATGTACTTATAAAAAGTATTTATTAGTATTTCCAATTGAACTTTTAAATCTAAAATAAAATAAAAACAAATTAAATAATAGGGAAATGTATTTCACTGATAACCATTTTCAACTTAATGACATTTTCTTTCACTTCTATTTTAACGCTTACCGTAATTCAATTTATTTTATTCAATTTCGTCATGCATTTAAAGGAAATTCAGAGCTAGACTAGATGTTGTCAGATGTATGAATTAAATTACCAAATATGAAACTCAATTTAAGGAATGTTTTAAAAAATTAAAATTAGCTTGCTTAACTCTAGTGAAAAATGGTTATAGAATTCGATTTCAAAATATAACTTCTGCATTTATTTATTTATTATTATTTTTTTGAAATTACATTTACCCCCAGGAATTAATATTGTATTGCTTCGTAATCATGGCGATTATATTAGTTTAAATTTTTTGGATTTAAGTATCAAATTTTTACTCTTTCTTTTATTTAAAATACGCTTTTTCTTTTACGTTTTATATTCTTTTCTTGTTTTCTTTGTGTTTTCATCTGATATGTATGCTGTATTTATGAAACATAGAATACAGTAAATAAAATAAGCATTAACTATTCAGCAGTCAAATGCACCCGATACCTTTTTCGTAAGGGAAAGATTTCGTTTTTTTGAAAGTTGTAGTAATTTTTTTAAATTTTTAATAATTTTTCTCTTATTTTATTTAAAATCCTTTCTTTTACATTTTGTATTTGTTCCTTGTATTTTTGCGCATTTTTATCTGTTTTTTTTTGTTNGGTGCTCAGAGGTATTACTATTTCGCAAATTGTCAGATTCAAAATAATCGGTAACAACGAATACAACTTTACGTTGTAGGTGTAAAATTTCAAAGCTAAACTTTTTTGCAATAACTTTCCAAGTAATTTTTTCAATCATCTTTTGGCCCAATTTAAATTTTAAGTTCAAAGTTTCTTTCCGAGATTGACACAGTTCACAAAAGTCTAAACCGTAACCGATCGTAAATTATATTCATTTATGACGCACCATATTCAATTCAATAATTTGGAGGAATGATTGTTGATGTTGTGGTATTTGTCACCGTAGACATGGACAGAGTTTGGTTTTGCATTGACTATGTATTAAAAGTTTTGGTTTTATATTTAAAAAATTCTTTGCGTTCTCATGTTATTAATGTTAGTGTGGGGTCCAGCCAATAGCAACATGGCCTACAACTTTTACTGTTCACCACGTTACTATAACGAAACCCGACACTTTTTTCGTTCAAAGGTATTATTATTGTTAGCTGCTGATGAGTTACAACCTACTATATACACTCCTCAAAAGTGAAATTGCAACGCCAAGAAATATTGCACGTAGCAACACTACGTGCATTATTTCTTGGTGTTGCAATTTCACTTTTGAGGAGTGTATATAGTAGGTTGTAACTCATCAGCAGCTAACAATAATAATACCTTTGAACGAAAAAAGTGTCGGGTTTCGTTATAGTAACGTGGTGAACAGTAAAAGTTGTAGGCCATGTTGCTATTGGCTGGACCCCACACTAACATTAATAACATGAGAACGCAAAGAATTTTTTAAATATAAAACCAAAACTTTTAATACATAGTCAATGCAAAACCAAACTCTGTCCATGTCTACGGTGACAAATACCACAACATCAACAATCATTCCTCCAAATTATTGAATTGAATATGGTGCGTCATAAATGAATATAATTTACGATCGGTTACGGTTTAGACTTTTGTGAACTGTGTCAATCTCGGAAAGAAACTTTGAACTTAAAATTTAAATTGGGCCAAAAGATGATTGAAAAAATTACTTGGAAAGTTATTGCAAAAAAGTTTAGCTTTGAAATTTTACACCTACAACGTAAAGTTGTATTCGTTGTTACCGATTATTTTGAATCTGACAATTTGCGAAATAGTAATACCTCTGAGCACCTTGACACTAATGCAACTGCCATAGTTCTGTAGACTAAGTACCTCAAATTTGAAGTCAATTTCAAGTAAAATTTTTTGCTTTTTTTGTGAACTTGAGCATGGATAGAATTCAGTTTTTCAGTGAATTAAAAGTTATGGTTTTATATTTAAAAATTCTTTGCGTTCTCATGCTATTATTTTTAATGTACGGTCCAGCCAATAGCAACATGGCCTACAGCTTTTGCTGTTTGCCACGTTGCTATAACGAAACCCGTCACCTTTTTCGTTCAAAGGTATTATTGTTGTTAGCTGCTGATGAGTTACAACCCTTTTTATTATTTATATCTTTGCTGTATTTTACAAAATACTATATTATATATATTTTGATGTTTAATAACTCATAAAATAATAAATATAGATTAAAATTAATAACATAGAGGGTCAGATAGACTCAAAAAGTTTCATGATCCTTGTAAATAAATTTCCACGTGTGCCCCCTTCGTCACACGGAGAATATCAAATCTATAGTCAATTTCACGCCAGGTAGCGGCAAGCATGTTGGCATCCACAGAGGCTATTGCGGTTTTCTGAAGCGCATAATGTTCTCCTTCGAAGCATCCTTTCGTGCTTCTGGCATTCTTAATCGCCATAATGTGCGCATATGGGGATATGAAAATCCCCATGAATACCGTGAGACACAAAGGGATTCCCCAAAGGTTAATGCGTGGTGTGGACTAATGCACGACCGAGTCATTGGACCTTTCTTTTTTACAGAAAAGACGGTCTCATCAGTCGTATACTTAGACATGTTGGAAAACTTCGTATTTCCACAACTAGAAGAGCTTCAGCCACATGTCTTTTTGCAACAAGATGGTACACCACCTCATTGGGGTATCATCGCTCGTAGTTCCTTCCTCCATTGAGGTATCATCGCTCGTAAATGGCCATTTTCCAGGAATATGGATTGGGCGAGGAGGTCCAATTCCTTGGCCACCCAGATCACCTGATATAACGCCGCTGATCTTTTTTCTTTGGGGATTTATAAAGGACAATGTTTGCGGGAGGATCGTGTCGAACATTGATGACCTAAAAGTCAGAATTACAACCACAATAGCCTCCGTGGATGCCGACATGCTTGCCGCTACCTGGCGTGAAATTGACTATCGACTTGATATTCTCTGTGCGACGAAGGGGGCACACGTGGAAATTCATTGACAAGGGTCATGAAACTTTTTGAGTCTATCTAGCCATTTATGTTGTTAATTTTAATCTATCTTTATTATTTTATGAGTTATTAAGCATCAAAATGGGTCCGGGACTTTATAAACACCCTGTATATATATATATATATATAAAGTGTGAATAAATTAAGTAAATGAAAGGTAATAACTACCGTTTATACTTCAAAAGCCAATTTTTACAACCAACATTACGATGAACTCGCAACAGGGTTCAATTTTAAACATTACTTAAGTAACTTGCATGAGTTAAGTTCTATTTGCATATAAATTAAAATTTTGTGCCATTAATTATATTCCTACCTAATTTTTTTCATTTTCGACTTGAAGGAAGGAATATCTTTGGATTACGAAAGTCTTTAGATATTATTTTTCTTAGAACGCGAAACTTTTAATGAATTCTGTCTCAAAATGAAATCATTAAAATTTGATACTTTCAGTCAGTTTAAGGGTTGTCTCACTGGGAGTAATTAAAATAGTTTCAAAAACATTTTTTGGATTTTGGATTTTGAATTTTTTTTTAAATCTTTTAATTTGAGGAAAAAGTTCTCTCAAGTATATAATTCCCAGCCACTAATATTTCTTTTAGCGCTCTTTTTTTTAAAAATTTCTCTTTAACAGCATGGGTATTGTATTATTGTAATAAAATTTCAGTTAAGAATTGATTTTGTATTACTTCATAAGTTACTTTGTAACATTTACCATAAATAGGTATGAGTTGATAATTTTCCATATGTTTATATGCTTAAATATAATAAGGCTAATCGAGCCTATTAACGACAGTTCGCAATCATAGTTAATTCTGAGTAACGTCTTGCTAAAGCATATCTAAACAAATAGTTTCATCAATAAATTCATTTTACTATAATTGAAAGATGTAATAAGCTCTTAACCAGAATTTCTCTTTATGCCTTACTCTTCAGGGAAAATAAGGAAGCTTTATGAAACGTTTAACGTTTGAAGTTGAAGCGTTTCAAAGCATATACGCTTCAGATACTTGAAGCGTTTTAATACAGATTTTGGTATGAAAGGTAAGCATTTCAAGTTTGAAGCGTAATATATGAGTTTTATGAATTATTTTCTTCTTTGTAATATAGTGAATATCTAATTAGGGTATGCTGAGTTATAGTTCCATACCAATGTGGTAGGTTAATTAAAAACTAAGTTAATTAAAACATATTTTTTTTAAATAAACATACCCCTCTTTTCGATTGAATTTTATTCTTCACTATCGAAATATAAGCTGTAAAAACTTTTAGCAAATTACACCACCGTGACAACTACTTTACACCATAGTGGCGTAGTTAAACCCCATGCGTGACTCTTGGATCTAACGTTGCACTACAATGTTCTTTTACACTACTAGGTGCAAAGTAGCCGCTACCATTTTTTACTTTATCAAACTAAAATTTATAATTATATGCACATAAGAGTCGGTCAATTATTTTTACCAAACAATATAAAGTAAGAATCATTAATTCAGTACCCACATGTACAGTGCGAAAAAAAAACGGGCCACCCTGAATAACTTTTGATTTAATGATCGAATCTTGACGTTCTAGGGCTCAATCTTAATGGCTCGAAAGGGTGACCTCAAATACGCTAATTAATAAGCGAAGACGATATTTTAAGTTACGAAATCAGACAAACCTTCTCTGAATAAACGCACCTTTTATTTTTGGACGTATTCGGATTTCTGACTCCCAAAGTATAAGGGGTAGCCGCAATTTGGGAAATATGTTCCCAATGGCTCCAAAGGTTTTGACTTCATAATGTTAAATTTACTTTTTGCGCATTTCACTATATATCGAGAATGTTTTGGGAGAATTGCAATATTTTTTACACAATTATAAAATTCGTTTATCCAAAGATAGTTCCAGTCAAGAAATAACATTTAATAAATATTTATTACTTTTTATTATTTTATTTGTTTTTTATTATATCGTGTTTGATACTTAATTTTATTTATTATATCGTGTTTGATACTTAATTTTATTTATTATATCGTATTTGTTTGATACTTACATGGTATGATACATTCATATCTGTTTTTGCATCTATTGATTTCCCATGCACCAACGCAATATGTCTTGGGCTCTTCAAACACATCATTTAATTTCTGCAGTGTAAAGATACATGATTTTAATTTTCTAACAATATTTGAGAATTGTAAAATTAAAAAGTGGACAAAAAGTGCATTAACGATAGCAACGCCACCAATCAGAATTATAGCGGAAAATAATTGTTTTTACGTACGTCAGACTAAATACTACACAGTAAAAAATATGGTTGAAACAGTCAGAATATGATAAATGTATCATCATGTTTCTGGCTCTATGGGGATAATAAAAAGCTGTATAATTTTTACCGAAATGCTTTGGTAATGATTTTAGTAAAATTAAAAATTAAATATGGTTCTATAGTCCTTGATGAAATTTGGTTAATGAGGTAAAATTTAATCATGATACTTTAGAGAGTGGCTTAAAAACGGTTAAATTTACTTTTCATTTTTGTATTTTTTAATAAATGTGTGGTCGCACTTTCGAAAACCAAAATTTTCGATAAATCGTTACCATATGAACGAAAAACTTTCCGAATGAATGGTTTAAATACCGTATACTTTGGTTTTTAATAATAGAATTATGATTTTTTTGTCACTGCCATACAGTTACGGTGATTTTACCACAACTTTTTTTTTTCTTCGTGTAATCTGTTATACTTGTCGTGTACCTCTAGTTGTTTTCTCTACGGCAGAAATTTATTCCTTGGAGATCATGGCGTTTGTTATCCTTTTGTTTTAATAAATCTCATATCGGTGACCATCTTTCATCAAAAAATGTACACGATTTGTTTACGATTACGATTGTTCGTCCAGCATAGTGTGCGCCAGAATATTAATGCTTTTATCACGCCTGCTTTCTGACACTAAAAGTCCTACTGTAGTGCATTTTCTCTTTTGGGTACAGCATTTTACATTTGGGTGCACATCTTTACATTTACTTTGATTATGTAAGGTCCAGGGAATTTAACTTAAACTGGCTAATAAATTACACTGTTAGAAATTTCTCGGAAAAATGGTTAAATACCAATTTATTTATTTGTTATTTGACCATATTCAAACAAAACAGTCAAATAATCGTAAATAAAATGATATGCAAGCTGTTAATATTAAGAGAATCCATTTATTAATTGCCTTCACCTAATACGGTAAAATAACCAGAATTTAATCGCACCAGCTAGGCTCACCTAATGAAGCCACTTAGTTCTTTGCAGTTGGATATATGTCACAGCCCAAAGGGATAGTCTGTCAAACTCATGACCGACAGAACGGGAGTTCATGTCTCATAGTTGTCACCACATTATTTCCTCCATTCCCTTCAACACATGAAGAGTTTCTAGTGTCAATTGAATGGACAGACTTCTGCCGGGTATTTTACCGTAATTTCAGAATGAAAATTCTAACAGTGTATACACAATCTGCGCCGCACTCTTATTTTAATTTTTAACCTTGAAGTTGAGCTATCACCGCTGTGTTTTTGTCACTATCTTGATTGTCCACTTTTCATTTGGGCAACTCTTTTTATAAATCAAAATAGAAAGCAGAATGAATACACAATCTTACCTCGAACTCAACCTCGAGTCCCGTTCTACAGTTATCCCTGACTTTTCCTTTCAGCAATTCGTAATGGTCCCTGAGGTGGTGTAGCTCCAGCTCTGTATCTCCAAACTGCGCATGCTCCATAAGAGCCCGATACACAAACATGTACTCCTCCTGCACACAATGAATAGCATTAATTAATATGTATTACAATTTAAGTATCTTTACATTGCCCTAACACTTTTTCTTAAGTTCTGTATCGTATCGTATAAAATTCCGCAACTTGTTACAAAACAGGAAGAAAATTACTGTTTTATGTAATTGTCTATTAGTTTATCAATAGCAATTCAATAATCTAGTAAAAATGCAACATTTTTTATCAAGGCAAAACTGGCGATATGGTAAAATATTTTGTTACAGTCTTATAATAATATAATAGTTTATAATAAGTTATAACCAACGATTACAACATAACCTATCATAACGAAATATCATACTTTTAATCATAAATATAAGAAATCGTAATTCATATATACAATTGAAATCATACTTACGAGTACAAGTATTATTGAACTACGTTTGTTAAGCAAAAATAACTTACATCTTTATAGTCTGTTTACGCACATTTGTTTTTGCATTCATGGATAAATTTCATCGACACGTTTCAGAAACGTCTATACAGTTAACGAAATCCATGTCCAAAAGACAAATTATCAAATACATTCTCAATTTATCAGTTTTATAAAAATGCGTAGTTAAAGAGCTTATTGTGATTCTTTTCTTTTATTCTAGTAAACTCTGCCTCCTAATCCCTCTGACCCTTAAACAATATCTAAAGAATTCAAGTAGCTGGAAAGTATACTTCCCCTCTGCCTTACATTGCGTTAATATTTATCAGGCTGGGAAAGGCCACAAATAAAGTTGTTTGCAAACACGCAGAAAACCATGATGTAATTCATTACAAATATTTAAAAATATTATACCAATGTAACTAATTAATGAAAAATATTCGAAGTTTTCCTAAATCATACAATTGAAGTCTTAATGTCTACAAACTGTCTCAAATTTTTTACTTTCTACAAACGGGAGTCCCTGTTTTATAAACAAATAACTTCTTATTGCATTGCGGTCGCAACAAAAAATCGTGCAATAAACTATGAAAATCAATCGGTTAAATATAGTTACCAGGTAATTGTTCAGTGATGTGCAACGGATCACAGAACCATAATTTCGACGTTTTATCTTCTGCTAAATTCTATCAAAAAATTTTTTGAGGTGGTTTCAAAGTTCCTGTTTTTTAAATTTTCCTTAATTTGTTTTCTTTTTTTTTCTTTTTTTAAATTTTAATCTTGTACAATCTCCAAAGCTTCTTTTGAACTTAATGTATTTTGATTATAAGAGCAAAAATCACTTAAACATCGATTAGTTTTAATAATGTTAACGATTTTTTCTAGTATGTGCTAACTAGTTCAAAGACTTAAGTATTGATTAGAAATAGTTAAGAGATAAATTAGTTTACGAAATTTTAAAGCAAATTTTTTTTAATGCATTTTTTTGTAACTATTTTTATTTATGGTATATTGTATAGAATATTAATAAAATTGGTTTTTAGTTTAGAATCGTGTTTTTACTAGTAAAATAAAAGATCATTAGTTCAGTAAGCATTCAGAAAGAATAATTTATTTTAAGATGGAAAATATGTGTTTTCGATAAAAGCAGAAAACGTGTAAAACTTGTTTTTCTTTTTATAGGGGAACCAGAAAACACGTAAAGTTTCTTTCATCGTATCATTCCGTATCCAATTCGAAAATTCCATTAGTGTTTGCTCAAGACGCCCGTGAATCGTTAACTCAGGTTTTTCAAATAATATTGGAAGAAACAAAGCCATAAAAAAGGAGCCTTTCTCTCAAATTCGGGTAAAAGTGAAGTAAATATTTGCAAAAAATGAGGAAAACAGGAAAAATGTAAAAATTGAAATGAAAATTGCAAAAAACTAAAAAAAAAAAAAGCATTTAGTGTTATGTCGTATTATGAAACTTTTATGAAAGAATTTGGTGAGGTATTTTAAAAGTTTTTATGATATGCATTTGAAAAGAGAGTTCCCCACAAAAATTGTTTGAGGTTTAACATTTGATTATTTGAACTGTTTGAATAGCTGTTTTAAAACTTCTCATCGTTCTTATGTTTATTAAGTGCATTTGAAATAATTTCTTTTTTCAGAAAATATATTATTGAAACGAGTGGAACTCATTCTTTTTAGTTCTAAGTAAAAATTAGGATTTGCATAAATTGGTATTCATCTGAATTCTGTGATTATGACTACAGCAAATATCGGGAAATACATTTATTGGTATTCATCTAAATTCTGTGATTATAACGATGTTGTTTACAGCAAATATTAGGAAATAAATTTATTGGTATTCATCTGAATTCTGTAATTATAACGATGAGTTTCACGACAAAAATTAGGATTTGCATAAATTGGTATTCATCTGAATTCTGTGATTTTAATAAATAACAGCAATGCATTATGATAAATATCACGATTTTACTTGCAATAATAATGTTTAATTTCATCTGTTTTTTATAATGGATAAGTAATTATTATACCGAATTACAGAATTAGAGTAGTTGATTTAAATTTTTTTTTCTACTAACAATAGCTTAAAAATCTGCTTACTTTTCTCTAAAAAATTATGTTTTTAAATATTTATTTTTCCCGATTGCCTCCTTTAGACAGAAAGAGGATTTCAATTCATTCCTCCCTGTTAACCTACAAAAAATGTCTGGAATTACCTTCTTTATCATGTAACAATTTAAACTTTTCAATAATTTTTGTTTCATTTTATTCATGCATTATACTGAACTACTAGAACTTACTAGAATCAGAACTTACTAGAACTAGAAATTACTAGATTTTAAATTTTAAGGTTATAACTATTTTAATTTTGTTTTTAAAGTTTAAAATTTTTAAAGTTTTAAAATACTTACAACATAAAACTTTACAATTTTTGATTCTTTTTTTCTTATTATCTCGTTGTTATATTGGAAATTAATGATTTTATCTTACTTAGAACTCTTTATAGGAAACGTCGGATGAACGTCGGCATATCGACGTCAAAATCATTATCTGATTTGGCCAATAAATTCAATGAACTCAGTGCAGATAATAAATTTTTACAAGAAAAGCCATTACATCGAATTCGAACTCACAGTGAGTGATTACATTTCCCCTCTATAAAACGAAGTTGGCTTCTGAATTACATGCATGGTACAAAAACAAAGCCGAAAGTTTTTCCTCCTCTATAACCCATCCAGGACCTGTGAAAGAAGAAGAAGTGCTTGAAAGAAGAACTTAGAGATCATATATTCTAATACGAGAGTATCAAATTGAGATGGTGTCCGTGTGCTCATATTCTTCCAGAGCAGAGGTTCCCGTTGATGGGTAAATCCAAGCCAAAATTTTTGTTCTTTATTATGAAGACCAGAAAATACTTTGTGGATCCCCACTTACAACTTGTGAACCCCTGTTTTCTTTTCACACCTACGTGGACCCTTATGTGGTCTTCTATGGACCCCTGGGGGTCCACCTGGACCACTTTGGGAACCTATGTTCTAGAGCCATAAAGGATATATGATAGCGTGGATCATATATGATATTTTGAAAGGAGAATCGCTTGATCACGGTCTTAAATGTGTAAATGTATTTCTCAGAGAAAATGAGTTTCAATTAATCACAGATGCTAGTTAAAACATAAGTGAACACTTCTTGAACCTAAAAAATGGTATAGAAATTAAATGTATCAACCTTCAGCATTCAGTTTTTTCAGCTCTTGTAATTTCTAAACTATTTTAATCCTATCAACTTGGTTATTATCAAATGTGGTTCAGTGTTAAAAATTAGAGAGGAAACAATGTCTCACTTTGCCTTGAATAAATTAAACATAAAAAACCCTTAAAACTTCTACATTTTAAATTATATTGACTCACAATTATTATTTTTTCTCACACTTTTCATCGTGAAAAAATACAGGTTGGAAATAATACCTAACTTGCTTTAATAACTGTGCCAGATACTCAAATAGATATAAATCACTAATTGTAACTTTTATACAAAAAAAGCACTTGCAACTCTTAATCTGTAAGTCATATCAACCCTGATGTAGTCACATTCTATTCATCATTTCACAAGAAACGATACCTTATTTGTCCAGATAACAATGTTTAGGTTTTTTCCCTTTTCGATTCCTGTTTAACCAGCAAAATCTTACATGCTAAGTTGTGCAACTTTTTAACACTTACTAAGTAGAGGATGTTTAGCTGTTACCCATAGGATAAATATTTTTTAGATGATTAGAGTTTGATAATTTTTAAGCTATCTTAACTAAATTAAAAAGTGAAAATTAATTTATGCCAGTTAAAATTTAAACTGATGTCTCTTAGCGACTTTTTCGTAAACCACATATTTCATATTTTTATGAAAAATTTATATCGGGTGATTTAAAAAGTTCGTATTTGCATTGTTTTAAAGGAATCTGAAGAAAGAAGAATTTATTTAATGCTACAGATATGCAGGCCAGTATGCTCATCAGAAATTACGACTTGTCGAGACTATATCGAGAACTTTTTAAGCAAATTGAAATTTTTTTTTGCACACAATTATAAAATTCATTTACTCAAAGATAATTCCTCAGAAAAAATAAATTTCAGTAAATATTTATTATTATTTTTTTATTTCATTTAATAATAATTGAAAAATTTATTATTCTATTTAATATTTCGATTTTTCAGAAATTATTTGACTGATTTCCCTCAAGTTTTGTATTTTGCTATGTAAAATGAGATGCTTTAAGAAACTATGTACAAAACTGTACACTTTACAATTCAAAATTGTTTTGGCTATTATTAAATAAAATAATAAAAAATAATAAATATTTGCTAAAAATTACTTTTTGCGTGGAATTATTGGATAAACGAATTTTATTATTGTGTAAAAAATGTTTCAATTTGCTTAAAAGTTCTCGAGATATAGCGAAAAACGTACAAAAGTAAAACTTTGTCCAAACTTTGAAGCGCTCTCCTGACCAAATTTGAAGCGCTCTCCTGGGACAATATTTCCCAGATTGCAGCTACCCTCTATATTTTGGGTGTCAGAAATCCGAATCCGTTAAAAAAAAAATCACGTTTAGTCAGAGAAAGTATGTTTTTGTAACTTAAAATATCGTCTGCAGTTATTAATTAGCATATTTGAGGTCACCCCCTCGAGCTGTTAAGATTGAGTCTTAGAACGTGAAGATCCGATCATTAGATCAAAAGTTATTCAGGGTGGTCCATTTTTTTATTTTGAGCACTAAACATTAAAAGGGAAAATTCTGCGAGTTCACCCAACCTTGTCAATTGAGATTTTGAGCGAAATAATTTGATTCGAAGAAAATTCTGAGGAAAAAGTCAAAACAACCCTTATGATCTTATATTATGAAAAAGAAAAGCCCGGAAATTTCACACAAAGAAAGAATCCGAAAATGTGTAAAACGTTGGAAGCTGAATATTTTTATGAAAATAAGTTCTATTTTATTTGGTTTTAAATCAGGCGCAAAACTTCTGCAGCCACTTAATATTCTCTGTTCCTATTTTTTTTCATCTTAAAAATTCAAACCAAAATAAATAAATAAATGAATAAAGTATTTAAATCTAATACAGTTACATTTTAAAGAATATTTACAATTTTAGATAATATTTACAAGTTTTTCAACACTTTTCTGAATATTTTTATCAACAGAAATTGAGAAAGAATGAAGGCAATGTTTCGAACAACGATTGTTTTAAAGTGCACAACAGTTACGTTCGTTATTTCAAACGGAATGTAAGAAAACAAGAGCGATTCGCAGCTATTTACAGTCGCAAATGTTGAGATACTTGGAAGACGTGCGCGGAATAAGGTTTCAGAGTCTAGAGTAAAAAAAAAAAAAGTAATATTTTTCTTCATGTTTTAGCTCCATTAGAAATCGTTTCGGTTGGTTCGTGTTCCTGCATGCAAATGGTACGATAAAAAGGAAGCGCTTCAAATAATTTTATAAATATACACAGTTTTTTCGAAGCAAAAATTCTCATTGCATTTAATGCTCTTCAGATAATTTGGACATAGTTTAAAATCAAAACTTTTTTGAGGATAATCGCACTCTCAGAACTTTAGCCAAGGGGGTGGGGGTCAGCCCCTCCTAGCAGATTCATTTTATCTCCTTGAAGATTTTCAGAAAAATTAAATTTCATCAAATAAAGTTATTATGTATGCTTGTTAATCTATTATATTAAAAAACTTCATACTCAGCTCGCTTTGTTCTACTTATTCCCTTAATTGCTGCAATAATTTTTATTTCTCGCATCCCGGTTTCTTATTTAATTTCACATGTTTAAACCCCGATTCTACTAAAATGAAATTTAAAATTTAATCATAATCATTTNACAGTACTTTTAAATTTGCAAGTATATATATATATCAGAAAGGTGAAAGAATTCTAAGAGCTGAAGAATTTTAATTATAAAAAATATTAAAGAACTGTAATGTATTTAAACTTAATTGCTATGAGCACTGTATAATAACTAATAACTGTATAATCACTAAAGAACAATGCGCGATCCCTCCTACGTAGCACACTCACAAAATCTTCCCGTATTGATAGAATTGATTGCTCGAACATTTATTTAAAAAGGGTGACTTCAAGACTAAACCGATCGTTTAACCTTATGATAATCGAAGCTCGTGAGAAATTATTCAATTTCAAAATAATTGCTATCGGTTGAAATTCTGTTAAATATGGAGGCAGGGTTCTAAAAACTCACTCTGGTGAGTTCGAATATAGTACTTTATCATGTTTTATCCAATCCTTGCGAACAGCTTACATTCAACTAGCTCATTTGAGTAGATACTCCAGTACTGTCCGACTCTCACGAGAACTCTTTCAGACACCAGACTCGTGAAGTGTCTGTTATTGAGGCTATGAAGAGAAGCCTCCTGGAATAGGGGGTATGAGGTTAACCGTTTCGTTTTGGTTGTTTGGTTGGGAGAGTCAGCTAATCATGTTCAACAGACATATATGATGTTGCTGTGAGGTTAACCGTATGGCTTTGGTTTTGGTTGGGAGAGTCACGTCATTTCTTCAATTGGATATTTGCAAGTGATGTCACGCGTGGGTCAGCCAATCATATTCGACAGTCATGTTGACGTTGCTGGAAGGTATCCAATAAAGTTTTACCCGAAATTTGATTCAGTGTGATTTGGTAATAAACTCCCGCCTTGAGACTGTAAAGTTAACACGCTTAGACACAACCATGTGATTAGTTGCAACTACCCGATTCTCCCTCATTAACGATGGTATTACTCTTGTCATATAAGTGGACAACTTTAAACTTTTCGTCTAGAGAAGTACAGTACAACTAGCTTTACTTTATATCTGATGTTGCATGTAAAATACCACTTAAGATATGGTGTTATATAGACAAAGAAAAAAAAATTCCCGCTCATTTTTAGCCGCAGTCTTTAAAAATAGCTAAAATTACTTTAAAAGATTTTGATTATATTTTAGAAGTATCTCAATAATTTGCTATAGTTTTAGGAAAATGATTATTCTTCTCGAAATCATATTCCAAAACAAATACTAACATCAAAATTTGAATATAATCCAGAACATTTCAAAAAATTTGGAACTTCCTGAAGCGCGACTCTTTGGATTTTTCACTCAACTATTCATTTATAATTTGTTTAAAACCATCTGTTTTTTGGCACAGTTTCTGAAAGTATAAAGCAATGAAATTGTTTTGCAAACTACTTTTTATGAATTTAAAACTATTATTTCAGTTTAAAATTTAATGTTTATTAAGTTCTCTCATGTATCTTTCAGAGACGTAACCTCATTTGCTTATATTTATTCTAGTTAAAAATACACTCTCTCAATAAAAAAGTTACAAGTTTATAAATTTTCTTCAAAAACTTCTATCTACGCAATAAAGTTTATGGTTCAATGTTGAACAATGCTGGCATTAAAAAGTGGAAAACTTGCTTTTATGGCTCAGTGACAATATAAGAGTGCTTTTCATCTCGCAGAAAGAAGTTTGGGAAATATTGTGTCAGCAACATTATTTTTTGAAAATGGAAGTTTGCCAACTATAAAATTTTGCAACCCTGTATACAAAAGCTTGAAAAAGAAGGATTCAGAAAATTGTTTCAACGTAGACAAAATAAAAGTTGTTTCCGAATATATTTTTTAAAAAATATGTGTCAAATTTAAACTACTTAGACACAGTAACATTAATTTTTAAAACTAAGTTGCGCTTAAAAACTTATAATAACTATAAAATAAGTGTCTTAATAGTATGATTTATTATCGATTTAAATCAATTTGTTTAATTGTAAAAAAGTTTTATTGTGATGCAGCGTGAAAATTTGGGAATTGTTTCAATTTTCATGGTTGCTATTTATTTTAATTTGCAAAAGTCAGTTTTGCTTACAATTTCGGAATGATATTCTTGTCTGTCAAATGGTGTTTTTCCTGCATATTTACGTATCTAGGCTACTCTCTTTGAAATTAATTTAAGTTGTTTTCAGCATCTCACTTTCATCTAAATAAAAATTAGCTGGATTAGCTGCACGGAAGTAACGTATTCTAATTAGCTTCCAGAGGTGCTCCAATTCCGATATTTCAGGCTTAATCATTCGAACCAAATTAAGCGAAGAACAGCGCTTACTTACTTACACTTTACTTATAAAATAATTACGGATTACGTCCTTATGATAGCGGTGTGTATGAACTGATTATATATTTCTTCTAGAATAAATAGACAGAGAAGGGGAAGACACGAAGCTGCAAGTCCGTTTGCAATGTCTGTGCCTCCTATTTGTTCCTAAATGCAAGGTGATTCATAAAAAAATATACAGTTTAAATGTACTATAAACCAAGAACAAGGTAAGATATTATATGTTTCTTGCAACAGAATGATATAGGATTATTTTAAGTTTTGTTAGAGACTGTCTCAGACACTCTAGGTGTGATTCCTTAGTCACGTGACGCACATTGAGCTAGCAATCCTTTCCGTCTATATGCGCGTTAAGGTATCTGAATCAAGTTTATCGATGGTGATCAATTCCGTTTAGTTTTAACAGATGACGCAGCATTGATCACCAGTGGGAAGATAAATAAGCAAAATGTTCGCGTATGTCACTGTCCCTAATAAAAATTAATACCATATAATTCTGTTGCAGGTAACATACAATATCTTACATTGCTCTTGATTTATAGTGCATTGAAACTGTACATTTCTTTATGAATCCCCCTGTATACTAATGTCATACTTATAGCAATGCTTTAGAATTCAGTGGGTGTCATTGTGGAACAACGTGGAAGTCAATGTGGGAACCTGAGGCTTAAAATTAAATATTTGAGTTCAGGTTTACCCAAACAATGTTTTTTTAAATTTGAAAAAAAATATTTGATGTGTATGTGATTTTATTTTGGCCATCATGCTAACAATGCTGATCTTTAATAAAGGGAAGTGCAAATGATTTGAAATGTAATTTGATGAGATGAAAGCCTTACCAGAGTTCTGATGAGATGATTCCTGTGGTACCTAAGATTGGAGGTGAATGAGAATATGTCTACGATGCCTTCGTCGTCCAGCTGTTGGCGCAAGGAGTCGATTGCTACGTACGTTCCGGTTCGACCAACGCCCTCGCTGTGAAAGTAAATCATCCAATGACCAATACGTTAAAAAACAAATGTTAAGAATTATTTGACAAAAAAAAAACATTGAAAAAAAAATCACAAAGACGGCGAAAAAAAAACTGCGAAAATTATCTTTTTAATTCGCATTGCTCCAAATGAAAAGCTGCCAGAAAATTACTAAAGTGCTTTTGAAAATTTCAGTAATTTCCATACAAAAGCACAGGCTTGATTGAAGCCATAGGCATTTCCATTTTGTTTTTCAGTGAAATCAAATTAGATTTTAACCGTGCTCAAATACACCGCTAAGCCTTATTTGCGGCAGTAAATTTGTTCGACTGGGATATCATTATTGTCAGTAATTATTGAACTTATGAACAGTCATATAATCAATAGATTTTGTAATTTGGAGGTCTGAAAATACGCAAGGCTAATTCATGGGTGTTTATAGAGAATAAGTTATCTGAACTTACCTACAGTGAACTAGAAGAGGGCCCCTATCTGATGAGTAATGCTCGTTCACTCTTTTTATAAACCTGAGAAGCCAAGATGGTTGACCGGGACTCAGAAAATCACTCCACATTAAAAAATGGAAGTGTAAAATCTCTCGTTGGCACACTTCTTGGTTCTGAAAAAACATAAATAGAATAAACATGTTGTAGGCAGATTCTAAATTTATCGAGCAAAGATCAAAATGAATGAAATACAGTACTTATAAATTTGCAAGCTTTTCAATGATTACCCCATACTTTATAGATAAAGTATACAAAGAAGAAAAGAATTGAAGGTTCAAGGTCAAGTAAAATAGTAAATTTACTATAGATATGTATAAACAAATGGGGAACAAAAAAGCAAAAAAATTAAAAGAGAGATTTTAAACAAAAGAATGGTAAATATAAAAAAAAAAAATTTTTTTTTAAAAGAATGAATTAAGTATCAGAAAAATTAACAACGAAAAGACATAATATCGTCATCAACTCACACGATTAGTGACTACTGATATTGTATTAGTATAGCCAAAGCAAAAGATATCAATACAATAATGTGAGAATACAATATAATAAAAAAGCAAATCAGAATTTAAATATGCTTTTTTTGGATGAAATTGAAAAATAATACGTGTTTTCTAAGCTCAAAAAAATTAATTTTTCGGATATTTATATAAAAATGAAAGTGTTTTCTCCATAAAGAAAATAAATAAAATGCTTATCAATATTCAAGCTCTAGCATGAATTTAAGTATCCGAATTGTTTTGAACTTTCTATACTCAAATCACTTACCAAGTTTTAGTTTTATAGTTTTATTAGAAGTCGAGAAATCTTACGAGCAAGGCGAAGAAATTTGATCTGAGAAAAACAAATTGAAAGACTAAACTTAGAATAAATATTTTTAAATAAATAACTTGAATTTGCAGACGATTCCAATTTAGAAAATAAGTGTGTTATTTTCTGTTCTTAGTGAGAGCAGTTCAGTATTTTTGTTGTATCTTTGGAAGTTTCTTGAGTTTCGTCTTATACTATGCGTCCAATTGCTCAGAATAAAACAGGTTGCAACAAACGATATTTTCAAAAGCAGGAAAAAGATTCGAAAATTTGTTAGGAAAAACTTTTCAGACCCTTTAACAGGAACTCCTGTCTGGCACTGGTCTAACGAGTGATAAGATTCTAAGATATGAAATAAGTAAACTTGAACGTAAAGATGAACCCAGAATGGAAATTAAAAAAAGGCAAATTGGGGATAATATGTTGATTTAACTATCTCTTGAGCGAATGCATTCTTGTTAACAACATTGATTAAGGGTTTAACAATATTGTAATAAATATTTTTGAATGCTCAAAAGCGGGTGTTCAAAGGAGAAGGGACCAAGGGAATGATGATCTTCAATTACTTAAGGAGGAAAGAAATCGGGCAAGATTCCGCAGGCTTTTTCAAGTATTGTATGATCTTCTCAAAAACAGACTTTCCCTAAAAAGAATATTTTAATCTCAAAATGATCTTGCCTTGACAAATTCTTATCTGACTTGAACAATTGGAGAAGCGTTGAAATTGCTAATAAAACTAAAAATCCGTAGTAACGGTTTCATACTTCAGGCTACTGATTCTACACGACTTTCTACAGGCTCAATTACATCATATTGGATTTGCTGACTTTCTTGGAAGAACAAGTAGACATGAATGGCGAGCATCTCTGGAACTGTTCTGTACTCCAAGAGACCCTCACTACTTTTTATTTCAAGACATTCTCCACCTCTGGATCTAGCTCTTTTTGTATTAAACTGCGAGATATCATGCTTGATAAAGCAATTCATAAAAACAATGCTAAAAGACTTTTGTTTACAACTATACAACTGAATATAATGTGATAAGTAAATACTTTATATATGGACATATTGATGACAGAAATATAACGTAAAATAAATGATTGAATTAATCATTAGTTACAAAAAATACTTATTGTGTTAAAATGTATCTTGATTTTATTTAAAATAGAGTAAATTAATTAAAATGTTGAATTTAAATGCTGAATAAATTAAAATGTTTTAAGAAGGATAAAAAATGGACAGTTTTATTATTTAACCCAGAAATATTTTATTATACAATATCATAAGGGTAATTTATCTTTTACTTTCTAAAATAAAATTATGAAAAATTTGTAGACCTGGAAGCTAGCCGAAAATAATTCCGCTGTGAAGCGGTTTTGATGGGAAACTGGCTTTTATCCGATTACCGATTTCGTAAAGCACACTTTTCCGCTACTCTAGCATATCGGAATCAGAAATCGAAATCGTAATACCGCACGATTCCGGCAAAAGTGAGGCTTCCAGTCCGGACTGGCTTCAATCAATTAAAATAATTCATATATGTTAATCTGGCAACAACTTATTTTTTTCCTTCTATGTGAGCTATAATCGCATTGACTTGAAACAGATAGCTTTAAAATTCTTCTCCCATGTCAACAAAATCTTCTAAGTCTATTCGTAGTGCAGCTGTAAGAAACAAAATTATGCACTTAACTTCAGTTCTAACAAAAGAATGCATTACTGCGTGATGTCATGGCTCCAACGCGTGACGAAGTTTCTCGATAAGCTTAGCACAAATTTTTTTTTGCTTAGTCTAAATAGGCTTTTAAACTCATTTTCAGGACAATCGAAAACTTTAAATTTTTAGGCCGATTAATCCTCTTCTTTATACTGTTTCTATCATGCTCTTCAGTAATAACTAACTAAATAATCGAAAATAACGCAATGTGTACCTCTAAAATAAACAAATTCTCTCGGAATAAAGATTTTGCCAAGCTTCAATCTACTGGCATGAAAATCTTACTTGTTCTGTTCAGAATCTCTTCCCGAATGGAATCAAGAGATTGTAATTTACCAAGCTGACATTCATGAAATTCTGACGTCACGAGAACGTCATTACGACCGGAATTAGATTCCGTGAAGTCGTTAATAGTGAGTCGAAACACGTGGAGAAACTACAATTAGTCGATCTTGCATGCTATGCATAAACTTGTTACTATGCATAAACAAATATATTCTAAAAAAGAGTTTACGAACTGACAACAAAAATAATAAACAATTGCTTCTTATTACATCGACTTATTTTTATCGATTCTTTTCCTAACATAATAAACATTTTTTATTCTTTTTATATTTTCATCTAAGTTTTTACGAACATAAATAATAAAGAAATTTTTTGTTTCAATTTAGCCCATTTTTATCGATCCTTTTCCTTTACATAATAAAATGTATTCAATTAAAAGTTTTAACTGATAATAAGGAAAGTAAATAGTTCTTTTCTGCTTTTATTTATTTTTCTTGATCATTTTCCTATGCGTTTTAACATATATTTATTTTATTAAAGTTTTCACGAACATAAATAATAAAAAAAAGTTTTGCATCAATTTAACCCATTTTTATCGATCCTTTTCCTTTACATAATAAAATGTATTCAATTAGAAAATTTAACTGATAAGAAGAAAAATAAATATTTCTTTTCTGCTTTTATTTATTTTTCTTGATCTTTTTCCTTTGCGTAATAACATATATTTATTTTATTAAGGTTTTCACGAACATAAATAATAAAAAAAAGTTTTGTTTCAATTTAACCCATTTTTATCGATCCTTTTCCTTTGCATAATAAAATGTATTTAATTAAAAGTTTTAACTGTTGAAGAAGAAAAATAAATATTTCTTTTCTGCTTTTATTTATTTTTCTTGATCATTTTCCTATGCGTAATAACATATATTTATTTTGTTAAAGTTTTCACGAACATAAATAATAAAAAAAGGTTTGTATCTGTTTAACCCATTTTTATCGATCCTTTTCTTTTACACAATAAAATATATTCAATTAAAAGTTTTAACTGCTGAACAAGAAAAATAAATATTTCTTTTCTGCTTTGATTTATTTTTCTTAATCATTTTCCCATGCATATTAAAATATATTTATTCTGTAAAAGATTTTAGGGACCCTCTAAGGAAATAATAACGGAAGTCAGACATTTTTAATTACCTTATCTCGAAGATAAGAATGCAATAAATCACAATTAATGATAAACCAGTTTTAATAATGTTTTAAGAAGACAAGAAAATTGAACTTAATTTACAGAAACACTGACATCTTGAAGTTAATTTTCAAGCTAGGTCATATCATTACTATCTGCCGCTTTTAAACATTTCAGTTTTTGACATTAAACATTTAATTAACGTGACAGCAAGATTTATTTTTATTTAATTAAATATGCTGAAATCTTTAATAAAATTATTTTTCTTTTTTACGGTACTCGGAAATTAATGATATTAATTGTTTCAGCATAGTGTTATAAGAAAGATTTAATTTCATTAATATTTTAGCAATCAATTTCAACATTATTAATAAACTAATTAAGTGCGGAAGAGTTTTTTCTCCAACTTTGTATTAGTTGAGCTAAAAATTAATAAATTAATTTACATAATAAATAATGTATCTTAATCATTAACGTTTTGAATTTATATAGGAAATTTATTTTCAAATCTTAATATGATGCTTGTTTTAAGGAAAATTATATTTTCTTTATTAATTCTTTTGTACTATTTGCTTTAAGGATTAATTACTCAGTTTTAGAAGAAAACTTTTCCTAAATAATATAAATTAATTGTTTGTCGGTAATAGAAGTTTCATGATGTAATATTAGTATTATTGTTCTTCAGAATAGTTATAATTAGAAAAATGCTAATTTTACAATACTTAGGTAAAATTCTTATTTGGAATAAAAATATTGAATAAAAATTATTTAGCAACTTGTTTCTTATTTATAAACAATTTTTAGCATAGGTCTAGGTTTCATTGCTCTTTCCTTCCGAAATTTTCAGTATTAGAAAAAAAAACCCTGCTGTTTGTTTGTTGTGTTTTATAGTTTATCATAACACGATGCGTATTAAATAATGAGTATGAAGGAAATATAATTTAATTGCTTTTAAAATAAGTTATTTTTATTTTTCACTGAAATAGCGACAAATGATGCAATTAACTTTTACAAATCAAATATTTTTAATTCTATTAATTTGATTTCTAAGTCAGGTACTTAATATTTTTTTATGAACTATTCATCTTTAAATTTAGTTTTTTTTTTAAAAATTAATTCCA